AAAATAAAAAATTTCAGTTTTAATTTTGGAATGACGAGTCAGCTAATATATGTTCAGGCTTATCTTAACATTTGCAGAGTTTATGACATTAAGCTTTTGGAAGCTTTCTCAAGTTTATTTTCTATATCTTGAATTATCCACTCTATATGACCAAAGAGTGAATTATAACTTCCCTCCCATAGAAAAAGCACAGCTGGCCATATGCCACCCATTTGTCCATTTTCCGTCCACGTGAACACAAGCAAAGTTTGGAGTTTGTGACCTTTGGAATCTGTTCTGGTTGGTGCCTTTTCATAGTATTTCTGAACTAACCCTTGGATGTTCCCACCTGGGTGAATGGTTGATTACCACGGAATCAATAACAAGCCAGTGTCACCTTTGACTTTATTTATTTATTTAGAGACAGAGTCTCACTCTGTTGCCCGGGCTAGAGTGCTGTGGCGTCAGCCTAGCTCACAGCAACCTCCAACTCCTGGGCTCAAGCAATCCTTCTGCCTCAGCCTCCTGGGTAGCTGGGACTACAGGCATGCGCCACCATGCCCGGCTAATTTTTTCTCTATATTTTTAGTTGTCCAGCTAATTTCTTTCTATTTTTAGTAGAGACGGGGTCTCACTCTTGCTCAGGCTGGTCTTGAACTCCTGACCTTGAGCGATCCTCCCTCCTTGGCCTCCCAGAGTGCTAGGATTACAGGTGTGAGCCACCACGCCCAGCCAGATGTGCTATTTATGTGTGAGAGTTTCAGTCCTCTCAGAGAATATACTCAGCATTTACCTAGTGCCCTGAGCTTTAGCTTCAGACTTCACTAGGAAAAAAATCAAGCTACCTATACGGATCTGATCATGAATGTTCCCAAGTAGAGGGTGGTGTGTGGGAGTTGATCACCCTCAGGCTGGCCCAGTAGGTGAGCTGCCAGAGCCCAGAGGCCTTCCACTCTTGTCATTCTTGTACAAATTAGGTTGAGCCAGGTCCTCTAACATCGGGTTTCAGGTAGCATTTCCTGGGATGGCAGCCACATCTACACCCTCCCTCCCAGTGGCTCCCACAAAAGAGTAGGTCGTGCCTAGAAGAGAGTCATGCCTCCATGCCTGTGGACTCTCCTGGTCTTCTGTGGGTGGCCGTGCGGGCAATAGACCCCCCAAATGCCCAGGGGTGTTATGTGATGTCACCAATGCTGGTGTCTCACTCCTGGCATCTTGGGGGCTTTCCTGGAGCCTGGTGTCTGCAGCCTCAGGCTCCGATCCCCAAGTCATTAACCATCCTTGCCTCTTTGGTTGTCCATCCTAACCACCCAAGTCAGGTAACATGTTTTCATTTTCTAGGTCAAGACACTTTTTTTTGAGACAGAGTCTCTCTCTGTTGCCCGGGCTAGAGTGCTGTGGTGTCAGCCTAGCTCACAGCAACCTCCAACTCCTGGGCTCAAGTGACCCTTCTGCCTCAGCCTCCAGAGTAGCTGGGACTACAGGCATGCGTCACCATGCCCAGCTAATTTTTTAAAATATATTTTTGGTTGTCCAGCTAATTTCTTTTTATTTTTAGTAGAGACAGGGTCTCGCTCTTGCTCAGGCTGGTCTCGAACTCCTGACCTTGAGCGATTCTCCTGCCTTGGCCTACCAGAGTGCTAGGATTACAGGTGTGAGCCACCGTGCCCAGTCTCTAGGCCAAGACTTGAGAGGTTGATTAGTTCCTCCCAGCTGCTGTGGTTTTATTTCCAGAAGCTGCCCCCAATTCAACAGCCTATTAACTGACCATGATATATCAGGAGCAAGGACATGATCCACATTCATCAACTCTGCTTTTTCTATTTAAAAACAAAAACAAAACCCTTTTATTAAAACTACACAATAGATTATATGTAACTGTATAGTTGCTTTATAAACTTAAGATACAAAAATAGAATGACATTTTAAAATATATATAAGTACAGTATAAATTATTATATCATGAGTTCCATCATCATTGTTCTCTTTTCTATTCTCAAGAAAATCTTAGCTTTGACTTAGATATACAGAAGCCAAATATCCTGGGTCTTAAGGAATAGTACAATTTAAAAGCGTGTCCTAGAGATGGCAATGTTTTGAAAGCCAGCTGTTAATTCACACTTGCTGGGAAGTAGCTGAAATTTGTGTGACATTGTGCCCTGATTTGGGGCTCTGGGGTCCCGTGCTTGTGGGCAGCCTCGCCTCGCTTCTTGCTCTGGTGTGCAGGACGTTTAAATTCCGCAGCCTGCATTAGCAGCCATTAGCCCTGGGCAGGTCCCCTGTTCGCTTGCTTTCTGCCTGCTACTTCTCAGGGGAGGCCTCAAACCATTTTCCTCCTTACATCCCTCACACTCTAACGTTTCTCTTTTGAGGCCCCAAAAAGAAAAGGTGGAGGGTGCTGCCTTTCCCCTCTGTGGTAACTCCCATTTCGGAGAAGTTTCCTCAGCAGACCAGGTCACTGCCTCCGTCCAGACTGACCCCCCTGCCCGCGGGAGGGCACCAGACTGCTCTGGCTCCTGTGCTTGCGGCAGGGCGGGAGGGAGCTTAGCCTAGAGGTTCACGGCTCGCTTGGGCCCACCCATTTCTTCCCCGGCTTGTGTCTCTCTGTTGATCGCGAGACACAGCTGGCCCAGGGAGGGCTTTTGTGGACGGGACTGTCTCAGGGTTTCCCCATGTCCCCGCAGCCTCGTTTGCCGTCACTACTAGCTGGCTCATTTGGGCTCCTTTAGGGCTTTGTCATATCCTCCCTTTCTCGTGAAACACATCCAACACCCCGTCCAGCTCGAATGCCCCCTTCACAGTGAGACCTTCCTGGACCATCTGAATTAAGCACCCACCCTGTCATCTCCTCTCGTGACCTTGTTTTTATTTCATGACAGTGAGCACCTGTTGCTATCTGACGTGACCTCGCCCATTCCAAAACGCTTATTTCTTTCTTGTTTGTCTCGCTTCCTTAGGATATACGCTCCACGAGGGCCGGGATCTCATCTGTCTTGTTCGGCACTGTAACCCCAGCACCTAGAACAGTTCCTCACGCATAGTAGGTCCCCAGTAAATACGTATGGAATAAATGAACACCCAGCCCTCCAGGGAGCTTTTGAGTAAAAGGGACCATGGCCCGAATGTCCCTGAGGGAGATACCTGGGCAGGTGGGACTTGGGCCACAGTGTGGCATAGGCCTATCCTTCCTGCGCCTGCCCTAGCTCCCCAGGCCCCTGGAGCTGTCCCCACTGGGCTGCACCGATGCAGTGCCAAGGGCTGTGCTAGGCCCTTCGTGTACCTTCCCATGTAATCCTCTAGCAGCCCCATGAGGCAGACACCGTTTCCTTCTCTGGGCATGTGCAAAAGGGAGGGAGGCTGAGAGAGGGCAGGGGACCTGAAGAGCTGAGGTCTGACCCGGGTCTCTGTCTTAAAGCCCATGTCCTTGCCCATCAGCACGATGAATCAGTAGTGACTTTAATGGTAGAAATCTCAGGTTGCCAGGAGAGAAAATCGCTCCTGCTGGGGCCAGTGAGGACATGTATTTGGTTGGTGGCCCTGCTGAGTCCCTCCGGTCTGTCCAGAATTTGTCCGCCTTCTTCCTCCACCAGTGCTGGCCTCAGGATTGAGGTCAGGAAGAGATTATGTGGAAAGAGAACCCAGAGCTCAGAGACACGGGCTCCAGCTGTAAGTCCCACAGATCTCTTCGTCTTTCCCTCATGAAATAGGAGCGACATGCTGGAAAGAGAAGCAGCCAGCAAGAGGGCTGGAGGGACAAGACGGGTTCCCCAGGCTGGAAGGGTGCTGAAAGTGGCAGATGCTGACACATGGGCCTGATGAGACAGCTGGAATTACCTCCTGAGATAGCCAGGCCAGGCCAGGCCAGGCCAGGCACTTGGGTGTGGGTGGTTTCTGCGGGTGGCACAGTTTTGCCCAGCCAGACACGGCAAGTTGCATTTCGAGAAATTGCAATTTCAGGAGTTGAAGCAGTGACAATCACTGCAGCAGTGACAATCAGTTCCCAGGCAAGCGCTCCTAGCAATTTTGGCCAAGGTGCAATTGTCCCCTTATCACCCACTTTCGGCTGCTTGGTAGCGTCTAATGCTCCATCTCTTTCCCTTCCCACGTCCAGTCTCTTATCTTGTTCCTGCACCCTTCCTGTGAAATATCTCCCCTCCTTTCTGTTTTCATGCACAACCTCAGGCTACGAGAACCTGCCTCTTCCCTCGTACTAAAAAGCTAGGCTGTATTTTGTACAAGACTGTTGGATTCTGGGAATTCTCCAATTACTGACTTGCACATGGCTTAAAAATAAAGCAAAAACTCCAGGCTCCCTGCTCCTTCCGTCCCCTAGAACTCCTGCCAGGGGGACTGGGAAGTCACCAAGAGCCCTGTCTGGAAGTCACTGGGAGCATCTCACCTCCCCCATCTTTGCTGTTTGGAGAAGCCCTCAGGGGGCTAGAATCTGAGTCTTCTCCTCTGTAGAATGAGGGTGGAACCAGTTGATATTCCTTTCCCTTTAGGACTTTTTAGTTATAAAACCATAATATCCCTGGCGTAGCTCACGGCTCAGGCTCACTCCGACCCCAGCTTCCTGGCTTGCTGCATCTCTCAACTGATTCATTTAACCCATGAGTTTGGGGGCAAACTTTGGCTCTTTGTGGGCAAAAATAAAAACAGCCCCAAACTTTTTTACATACAAAGCACCAATATACATATAGCGATGAGCAGATACATACCTGTAGTATTAAAACTGAAATTCATGGGGGAGTGAGGTCAGGAAAAATGTTATAAAGGCTCTTTAGGGGAATCATAATGAAAAAAAGGTTGAGAATCACTGACGTAACCACAAGGGTGTGCAGGGTACCATGACAGGCACCAGGCCACAAGGTGGACGACAGTATGTCCTCCTCCCCTGTCCTGTTTCTCCCAAATCAAGTGTCTTCTTTCCTTTCCTCTAAATCCTACAAGACATTCACTTACAAGTGCATCTGCACATTCTGGTGGTCATGGCTTATTTTTGTGGCTTTTCTTCCCTCTAGCTACGGCATTGCTGGCTCCACCAACGTGACAGGTGATCAAGTTAAGAAGCTGGATGTCCTCTCCAATGACCTGGTCATAAACATGTTAAAGTCATCCTTTGCCACCTGTGTTCTTGTGTCGGAAGAAGATAAACACGCCATAATAGTAGAGCCTGAGAAAAGGGTGGGTCTGCACTTTCACGGCTGAGGGTTTAATGTAACTGTTTTTCTTCCCCGCTTCCAAATGACTCCACTTGCTTGGCCAAGCTGGGTTTCTGGGAACCTCCCTGGATCCCTCCTGTCATCTTTTCGCAGATTCTGCCTCACTCTCAAATCCCCCTCTCCACTGTGCACCCTGCCACCACAGCTCCCGCCATTGCCATCTCTCCACTGGACTCCCACGGACTCATCTCCGTCTCTAACTCTTTATTGCCATGTTCAAGGCTCCTCGGAGTCTGGCTTCTGTTGACTACCCCTTGTGCTACATCTCCGTCCACCAGATGCCCAGCCCGTACGCCTGACCCTGCTGCCAACCACGACTGCTTGAAGTGTCTATCACCAGTGCTCCCACTGGAATCCGTTGGATCCCTACTGGTTTGATAGCTACTTGAGGGCAGAGAATGAGTTATTTTCTTCTCTGGTTCCCAGCATCTAGCACAATACCTGGCACATGGTGGGGTCAACAACAAATGCTGGTTGAGAAAGATTGTTGAATGAAAGAATATATCCAGCTTCTATAGAACAGTAATTGTACTTTAAAAAAACCTTTGAGATTAGAAGTGCAGTTACCTGGGCTTGCTATCTTTCCCTGTTTGAGATGCACTGGGGACATGAAGGAGTAGAATTAGAAAAAACAATCAGAAGGTAAATTCAAGAGGCTGCCGGTCTTGACCTTATTAAGAGGATGGGAGCCACGTCTGATTACCTTGCTTTACATGATTCCTAAAATACCACTGCACGCCAGATTCAAATTCACGTATTTCTCTACTGGGCCTGTCAAGGTCTTTGGTGGCAGTTTCAGGCATGTGACTTGACTTGGTTGTCTAATAGTCTCCATCAGGCACCCCGAACTCCTCTGACTACAATATGCCTTCTCATAGGCGTGTTCACACTTTCCAGTTTATACTTTCTCCCGCATTAGTGAGGGTGATTTGCCAAGGTCAAGGGGCCAGGGAATCATCTTAATCTGGTGGAGAACAGTGAAAAATCACATGTTAAAGCGGCTAATTTGGAGATGGAAAATTCCCAGTGGTGTGACACGCAGCACTCACCACTGTCAGTGGAGAGCACACTCTCCTGCAGTTGACTGTAAGCTGCCGACAGGACATCAGTGAAAGCAGAGCTGGGAAGAGATGTGCACAGTTAGCTCTTGGGAGCCAGCATACCACTGAAATCCCATTCCAAAAATGAGTCTTTGGAAGTCCCACTGCAATAGAGGGTTACTTCCTTTGGGAATTACACTAGGGATATTGTTGAAAACTATGCATTCCAACCTCAAGTGGCATCTATAAAACCTACATAAGAAATTTCTTACAGATCTTAATTCTAGGAAAGTCTTCACTTCACTTAAGGAATTATTATTATTTTTTCCCTATATAAAGGGAAATGAGTGACTGATCTTATTTCTCTTCTTCCTTTGGCTGTCAGGAAACTCAATCCAGAATTATGATTTGATTTATGAACAATGTAGGAAATCATGACTTATTTATCTGTATTCCATCACATTCATCTATGCCTCCTATTCTAAGTGATGTTTTCTCTGTTTAATGACCTTTTGATATGTATATAAACATACATATTCATTCATTCTATGTGTCGCTTCGTATCTTCGGTGACAGAGTATAAATAAATAAGACCCACATTTCTTGAACTTTCCTCTAGAATCCCATTTTTACTCCCTTGGTGTATCCTCTGTATCTTGTTACAATGTATACAAAGTGCCCATAGTGTATATTCTCTATCTGGTTATTAATACAATATTTTAAAGTTATATTTCTTTTTTCTTTGCTCAGGGTAAATATGTGGTCTGTTTTGATCCCCTTGATGGATCTTCCAACATTGATTGCCTTGTGTCCATTGGAACCATTTTTGGCATCTATAGAAAGGTAAAATGTGATATATCAGGTACCTGGTTTGGGATCAAAAGAAAAGTTAAGATTGAACATTCCATCCTATGTCACTATGTGGAGCAGCCAGAATATATATCATGAAACTCTGTGAGGCTTGAATAGATTTGTATCTCAAGTCCTGAGTTTTTATTTTTATTTTTTCTTAGAGATGGGTATTGCTCTGCAGCCCAGGGTGAAGTGCTGTGGCATGATCATAGCTCATATGACCTCGAATTCCTGGGCTCAAGAGATCCTCCTGCCACAGCCTTCCGAGTAGCTAGGACTACAGGCGTGCACCACCACACCCAGCTAATTTTAAAATTTTTTGTAGAAACAGTGTCTCGCTTCGTTGCCCAGGCTGTTCTCAAACTCCTAGACTCAAGCGATCCTCTTGCTTCAGTCTCCCAAAGTGCTGGGTTTATAAGCATGAGCCACTGTGCCTGGCCTTCAAGTTCTGAGTTTTTCAGCTTTAGTTGCAGAAGGAAGATCCATTAGGTTGTTAAAAGAGAAGGTAATAGTAAAACATGGGTGGGAAGAGAGTACATTTCACTTTTTAAACTATGCCTTTTTTTATGATAGAAAATTAGATTTTAAAAAAGGAGACAGTACAGCATAAGTATAGTGATGACACTACATGAATTGAGAGTTGTGAAGAGTATGACAACTATAGAGATTATTTATGTCAATATTGTCCTTAAATCCTCTGAATAAAGGGTCTGCAAACTACAAACCCCGGGCCAAATCTAGCTTGTTGCCTACCTTACATGGCTTGTGGACAAACAATAACCATTTTGCATTTTAAATAGTTGAAAAATCTAAATAATAATATTTAATGCTTCATGAAATTTATATAAAATTTAATTTTCACTGTTCATGACTGAAGTTTTATTGGCCTATGGTCACATTCGTTTGTTTACATATTGCCTTTGGCTGATTTTATGCTATACTGTAAGGGGGAATAGTTATTATGGAGACTGACCCATAAAACCTAAAATATTTACTATCTGTCCATTTGTAGAAAAAGTGTGCTGGGCCCTGCTCTGAGTCTGACATAGGACGTGAACCCGGACCCTGCCATGGGCCTTCTAATGGTGTGAGCTGGGCTATCTCCAAAGCTTCTCTCTCTCTTTTATTTTTTCTCTTTAAGTGTGAGTGTGTGACAGAGAGAAAAAGAGAGAGAGAGAGAGCAGGCTCAATTGTACAGACAGGTGACAAATGGAATGAATATCTGTGGACCCATCGTAAAACATTATAAAATCTAAAATATGTCCTCTTAGCATCAGCTTTTGTTTATTTCAGAAATGAAACCTCACAGAATTGTAGCTGAGGCTCTGTTTCTTCATCTTAACAAATGAAGCAGTTAGGTCAGCCAAACTCTATTCTAGATTACAAAGGCATTAACTTAAGAAGTGAACCCCAAATTTACACTTATCTCTAAAAGTGATATATTGTCCACTTTTGAAAAGTAGAGTCACTGTGGCACAGTTGTCTTTGGTCACTGGGATGTATTTTGCTTGTGTCTTGGGTGAGAGGCAGATCCACATCAAAATCAACTTGAGTAATAGAAGGTTCTAATTCTCATGCCAGAAAGGCAAAGGCAACAATTCATCTGTTTTCCAAGTCATGCCAAGAAACATACCATTCCTCTTATAGACATGGAGGGATATAATTTTTCTTACACAGTCCCAAATCTGTAGTATAGCAAGAAAGGTTTGTAGCAAAATTCTTCCCTGTGGAGGAAGAGCTCTGGCTAATGACTTAGCCAAAATAAAGTAGCACTGACGTTTGCCAATCACATTCTCTACCTTAGCCCCCGACATAAAACTCCTTTAAGGAAAAAAAAAACCCTAGAAAATTGAGAGACACTGGCTAGCAACTAAAACAAACCAAACAAACAAAAGCAAAACCCCCAGGTTGCAACAGCAGCTTGAATTGGGAATGCCAGACACAGCTGTTGGCAGTTGGTCTCCACACCCTTCTCAATAAACCTGCAGTGACTCTCTTAAAATATGGGAAGACACGATGAGTGTGACACAGCCCTCTGAGTCATTTCAGTTTTCAAAAGTCTTATTGGTTGTTTGAAACCATTTGAGGGCTTATGGGGCAGAAACTTCGACGTGTCTGTTGCTTCCAAGGAGACCTTTCTTGCTTTCCGCAGAGAAGGTTCTGAGCTGGAGTTCGGCTCCTTGGTGCACGTGCCCAGTGGGAGGGCATCCGTGACTGCGACCGGCAACCGTGCTCGGCCGTGGCCACATGACGCCTGGAAACAGGCTTGAAAGGGACCTGGCAGGGTGTCCCCAGGGCCCACCCAGCTTCTGGCTGGCGACATCCAGAAGGGGCAGGTTCTCCTGAGATGCTGGGCAACCACCACGGTTTGTCCAAATATGGAGTCAAAATCTGCTCATTATTGCTCATTTGGCCTTTTAGAGCATTGGAAAATAAGATTCTTCTACATGTTTGGAAACAGCTTTCCTGTCCCCCCTTTCTTTTTTAAGGTAAACATCTTTCATGGGAGGTTATTTTTAGACCTCTCTCTAGCCTGGTCACCCTCTACGGGACGTGCTCTAATTTCCAATGTCCTTTAAAAATATCCAGTTCCCACAACTGAAAACAGAGTTTCAAAAGGAGGGTTTGGTTGCCTGTGTGAGGGAAGACCATTGGTGACAGGAGTGTCCCCTCATGGCCCCCATGCCTACTTTCTCTTCCAAGGTCTCAAGTCTCCAGAACCCAGGGTGTCTTACCCTGTATTCCGTATGGGGTGGTGTGAAATAAAACAGAAACCCATAGCGGGTGGGACAGAAAGGTAAGGTCCAGAGACTTTTCAGTTTTGCCAAGTGCTTTATGCCCATTGCTCCCTGGGCATCTGCAAAAGAATGGAATGCTTCCCCTGGAGGAAAGGCATCCCTGCTTAGGGCTTGGAGGAGGGAACTCATACATGAGAAACGGGGCCAGACTAGAAAAGGATCCTCCAAATCCACCACTCATTCAAATTATTTTCTCTTTCCTTTGAGTATGTGGGTTGTAGACAAGTGCTACTGTCTTATTCCATGCGAGGAAATGTAAGTGTAAGAGCATTTGGTGACGCATTTCAGGGAAACGCTGTTTACTTTTGCGCCTTCGCCACAGGCAGGCATGGATGGTTGTGAATCTCTGGGGGACTTTTCTTGGTGGAGAGCTAGTTATTTGGAGCCTGTAGTTGGGGGAGAGGACAGTTAGAGGCCTGAGTCCTCCCACTGTATTGCCGGCTTCCAGGGAAGCTGGTAATTGTTAAAATGACCCTCGGACAGGTGGTCCCTATTGACAAAGACCATTCATTTCCTTTTTTCAAGATTGTGCATTGGCAAAATTTGGGATTAGGGAAAACAACTCAAAACTTTGGTCCTGTGTTTAGTCTGTGTTTAGTTGCACTGCACTATCTGATGAATATAAACCAAACTAGATCAAATGACTCAACCCACCCCAACCAGGTAACCAGTCAACCATCCAGATGAAAACCATGAGGAGAAGGGGTGAGGAGTGGGGAAGGAGAGAAATGGTTTTTGTGATTCTTTTACATGAGTAGCTCTTAAACTTTAGTGCAAGAGTCACCGATGGTGCGTGGCGACTTAGTGAGTCTGGGCTGCAGCCCCAGAACATGTATTTCTGGTAAGTATCCCAGGTGACTCTAGTGCAGCTGTGGCCACCCCTTTGAAAGTCACAGAAAGAAATTACCTGGACTGTATTTGCTGGGATGACTTCCTGCTCCAGCTTCATGATATATGAGTAGATGTCCCTGCTTACTCTCCGCTGCTAGAGCCGCTGGTGGGAAAGGAGTAAGTGAAATTGGGGAAATTGCCCATTTTTGTTTCTGTTCAATTCAAGCAGAGAGTATTCAAGCTGAAAGGTTTGTTTGGGGCTGTACGAGGACCAAAGAGCCAATCGAGTGTTAATAAAGAAGAGAGTTGTCAATAAGAGATCATCGATTGGGAGCCATCTCCTGAAGGTGCTCCCTTTCCTAGGATTAGACAAACTGTGGATCACACAACCCGGGGGGGTGTGTTATTAATGAAAAAAAAAAAAACAAAACCGAAAGATCAGAGTGTACATCACGTCCTAAGTGTAGGTACTATTGTGTCAATTTTTGCTGTGTGTGCCTGTGTGCATGTGGATTGGTACTGGTTTGTGATGTATAATGTGTTTGTTACCATGGCTCATGGTCAAAAATTGGAAAGCATCTGCTCTACCCCATAATGACTCTCGGGAGATGTTCTGAGTGCCTGTATTTCTGAGAATTTCCTTGCTGTGTGAGTGATGCACACCACACTGCTCGGTGGGGTTTGCGTTGCAATTGGCAACAGCTCATGAAATTGATTTCCTCACCAGACTCGCTGCCCTGCAGCCCAGTGTTAATTTGTTTAAGTAAAGCTGCAGTAGGCAGGTGGAAGACATTGATGCCCATAATAAGGTTAAACCAGTGGGAGCTGGCAAGAAGGCATGCTCCTTTTTGGAAGCGATAGTGCGGAGATGAGGGAATATCAAATTAGACACATTGGAGGAGGACCCTGATTGGAAAGAAGGACCCAGATGCAGGAAATTTGGGGTCTGGCGGGAAGGCTGCCGTGGTAATATAATCAGGATATTGCTGATGTGCGGAGGAAGGCCCCTCTGGGAAGATGCCCTATTTCATTAGAAGAGTACCTTGATGATGCCTCCTGGTAATGGTTGAACTGGAAAAAAGAACTGCAAAACAAAACAAAAATGTATTTCGTTTTCTTTTTTGCTCTAGAAATCAACTGATGAGCCTTCCGAGAAGGATGCTCTGCAGCCAGGCAGGAACCTGGTGGCAGCTGGCTATGCCCTGTATGGCAGTGCCACCATGCTGGTGCTTGCCATGGAGTGTGGTGTCAACTGCTTCATGCTGGACCCGGTGAGAGACCTCGCCGGGGGCTGGGTGCTCGGCTGGTGGCTGTGAGTGACTGTATGTTATGTGTGTGTGGGGGGGTAGCAGGGGTATGTAGAGGTGGGAACTGATGCCCACGGAAGGACAGAGATGATGGTGAGGGGCGGGACGGGGAAGGGAGATGGAGAGACATTGCACACATCCTCAGAAGGTTGCAGAGGTGAGAAATATCTGTCCAGAGCAGAAGAGGGAGTCTTTGTTCCAAGACGAATTCCTTAGTGCAGCCATTACTCAGTGACTCCAGGGCAGGCAAGCACGGGCCACGTGAACGAGCGCAGCGTGCTGGGGCAGGCAGGCAGGGGCGGTGGTGGGCACTGGGGGAGCTGAGAGTCCAGCGGTTACTATTGGGAAGAGGGGCCCAGCTTGCCAAGGCTTCCAGTTGTTCAAGAAACGCGGCATTTTAAAAGATGTGATGTTTCTAGGTGTGTAAAACACTGCGTTAGCCAAGTCAACATGTTTACAGACCAGATGGGGGCTGTAGATGGTCTGTTTGCCTCCCGCTCTATCCATTTCTGGCCTTTCCACCCATCTATTCGCCAAGAGGTTGTTTTCCTGAGGTGAACAGGTGACAGGTGTCCCAGCTGAAGCCCTGAATGACATCATTTCCGCCAAAATGGCCCAAAGTATTTGGTGTGTGCACCTGCACACAAACCTTCAGTTAACCCTTGCAGTCATGACAGGGCTTTGATGAACTCAAGGAAATAAAAATAAGGAAGAAAATGAAGACAATGTCTTAGTCTTGCTTATTGAGAAAAGTTACCTTACAGACAGGAGCTCACGTGAATAATGTTCATCAACAATTTTGATAATTTCTTCCATATAATCATTAATTTCAGTTATTTATTTGTTCGGTTAGATGACAGTTTCAACAAAGCAGGTAAATTGAGGGAAGTCATCTCATCAAACGCTTGGCACCATGAAACCCACCACTGAAACAGACTCCAAAGAATAATCTTCAATATGTTGGCACATTCATTATGTGCTTGGTCCAGGCTACCAAGGGGAAATGAATTGGATTTATAAAGTTTTAAAATTTTAGCAATGTCCTCACGTGACACTAATGAAACACCATGTGCATACAGTGGTTTTGGCTGGCAGACCGAGAACAGCTACAGACAGCGAGCTGGGACCCTCCGTGGGAGGCGGGCTGCTCTCGGGGAGGCCCGGGGTGTGTGCGCCAGGTGTGTGAGTCAACACGGCTACCTTTGTCCCACGCACTCTCAGAGAGCTGGACCTTCACCTCCTTGGAAGCATGGGCGCTTAATAAACACCCAAGGGTAGGGTAACAGCACCAGTTAAAGTCTCCAAATGAGGTGACTTCAGGGGAAATAATGGCAGAACCGGAGCAAAGTTCCATCTGAGCCCAGGACGCAGTTTCGGGAATCACTGAGGTCTGCTGATTTGTGCCTCGCCAGGCTTTTGCTTGTCATCTCCTTACCTGTCCTTCTGTGTCTCCAAAGGCCATCGGAGAGTTCATTCTGGTGGACAGGGATGTGAAGATCAAAAAGAAAGGCAACATCTACAGCCTTAACGAAGGCTACGCCAAGGACTTTGACCCTGCCATCACGGAGTACGTCCAGAGGAAAAAGTTCCCCCCAGTAAGTGAGGGTTCTGGGGTGGGTGCAGTGTCCAGGCATCTGGCACCAGGGCCAGCTCTGGAGGGAGGTGGGTGTCCCCTGAGTGGAAAAGGGACCCTGGGATGAAGGGCCTTGGACCTCATTTGGGACTGTTGAGTTATGTGGAGATCCGTCGATTGAAGGTTTACCTTTGAGGTGAAAGAAAGCAGGGATGGAAGTGGGTTGGATTTTGATCTGCACTGAGCCCATGATTAAGTTCTCATGTAGGTTCTGGGCACTGAAATTCTTGCCCTGAGATGTCAAATCAGAGTGTCTATCTCGGCCCTCGCCACTTTCTCTTGGCAGAAGAAAATGGGGATAATAAAGTCAACCAGATGCATGAGTGCATGGCAGTAAAAGAGTTTCCCTTCTGCGGCCATGGTCCTAGATGGCACAAAAGGTGGTTCTGCCACCCAGGCCCCTGCCGTGTGGTGTCTGTCCCTCCTGGCCTACTGTCCGACATGGATTTATCAGTCGTCTCAGGAGTGAGAGTGTCCGTCTTGGTATCTCTCTAAAGAGGTTACAAATCAGTGACTGTGAAGAGAAGAAATGGCTGATCGTAGAGGTGGCTGTATGTGGCAATATCTGATTTTGTCATAGCTTTCCTTAAAAGCCATTGACACCTGTTTTCTGAGGATGGAGCTCAAGTGTTGTTTGCAGACATTCGAGGTCCTCAGAGCTGGCCCCAGGCTCTCTCTCCAGCTTAATCCTCTCTCCTTTCACTTTCCAGAGAGTCTCCTCCCACCCCAACCCTGCGTACACTCACTCTGGGCCTGCGGGCTCCTCTGCCAAGCCCCGGCACAACAGCACTTCCAGCTCCACGTTGCTGAGCCTTTGCTTGTGCGGTGTCCTCCCTGCAAAATAGCCACCCCCACCCCTGCGCAGCTCCTTAGCTCGGCAGAAATCCTTCTCAACCTTGAAGGCGCTACTAAATGGCACAATTTTTGTGATGCTTGCCCCAAGCCCATAGCCAGAATCAACCACAGCCTCCTTGGGGCTTCCGTGGGTGATCTGACCTATTGTGAGATGTGGAAGGGGCTGTCTCCATTGTTCCATTTTCTTCTTCTTGGGAACAGGGTTCTCACTCAGCACACTTCTCAGCACAGCCCAAACATACCTGGAAGGTGCTCAGTGAGTGAGTGTGGAATCAAATACACACAGGGAACGCACGGGGAACTCGCTCTCTTTGTTTTCTGGAAAACTGATCAGTGCTGGTCTTAACCTTGCAGGATAACTCGGCCCCCTATGGCGCGCGGTACGTGGGCTCCATGGTGGCCGATGTTCACCGCACTCTGGTCTATGGCGGGATCTTTCTGTACCCCGCTAACAAGAAGAGACCCAATGGAAAGGTAAGCACCTGCCCTAGGGGGTGAGTGAGAAGCAGTAGATTGCATTTTCAGCCCAGCGACTTGATTCAGGGAGAAAGAAAGGTTACGGTAGCTGTTATGCCCTATAGTAAGTTGCTAAGGGTGTCTGTGGCATATTCTTTTCTACACTAAAGATAAAGCGAGGTGATACCAAGTAAACATAAAAATGGTCTCTTGAGAGTCCTTCCAATGCTGCAGGAAAAGAGAATTAATGGCCAGGAGGGCGACTAAAAGTCCATAGAGCTTCCAGCGGGTACGTGGTTTGGCTTGGGCAACATGAATTCCATTCATAAAGTGAAACGAAACCGCCCAGTCTCATGTCTAAGGCAGCAAATCAAATACATATTCCAAATAGGAGTCGCCTTTGGTTGCATTCAAAAGGCATAGAGTAGAAATAATTAATGAGCTGACACCACTTGGAAAACGATACCTTTTAGGGAAGGAAGCAATCTCTGGGAAAACCTAGAGCTTTCAGGTGAGCTGTTAGCACTGACCACACCGGCCAATGCCCGCGGTGCTTCCAGCAAGCCGTGGTGGGCTGTGCTTTCTCAGGCTGGCTAAGGGGCGCCCACTGTCCTTCCACTTGGGTGGCAGTGTGCTTCCTCCCCGAGTATTGTGTCTGCTTTATGTTCTCCAATGGACAGATTGCCTTTTTTTTGTTTCAAATGTGAGAGAAAAACAGGAACAATAATACCCTTAAGATAGAAATCTATATATTTTGGTTATATTCAGATCTCTGCTTTGCTGCATCTGGCATCTGGGTCGCTGAAGACATTCTTATTTACTTAGTACGCTGCTTCTGCCGCAGACATCTCCGGCATCCCCGCCTATGTGATTAACCTGCTTTACGGCACTTTTCTCTAATGCCTCAAGAAATTGTTCCTGAACACAGTTATTGAGGCTTCTCTTTTTTTTCCCAGTTTTTCAAATTTGGCCGTGACACCTACATGGAAAGAGAGTCAGGAAACACCTGCAAAAAGCTGTCGCTCAATAGGCAGACTGCATGAAAATGCATACGATAAAAAGTTAATATTTAAACGTAAATGCCAAGATGTATAACGTACTAAATTCCCACCCTCAAGCCTTAGGAGAGTTGTAAAAGAAATGCACACAGAGTTGCAAACAATATTACACTGTTTGGAGGAGCCAGTCTGCTTTCCAGATGTCTGCAGCCAGACACTGCCGTGGATTTTTCTAATGCTTGTAGAATAGGCAAAGCTCCATGCAAAACACACACCGAGTCGCTCGTTAAGTCCAGTTTCCACGCTGTAAGGGAAGGGAGTCATCAGTTCTGCCAAAATGTCATTCTGTGCTGAATCCAGGTGGTCTGTCTCGCATTTGCATCAGGTAATCTATTGCTGGCTCTGACTTGACGACTGGTTCAATTTAAACAAATGGTTAGCCGTCTTGTCTCAGATGCAACCTGGGGTGGGAGGGAACTTTTACAACCCCACAGGAGGAGAAAGAGAATATCAGTTACTCCCACCGGCTCTGCACTGTTTTGCTATAGAACAAGTGCCCTCTCTGTGTAATACCGTCTGGTATGAGGACGCTGCTGTTGGTCTTGCTTTCCAGCTGAGACTCCTGTATGAATGCAACCCCATGGCCTTTGTCATGGAGAAGGCGGGGGGAGTGGCCACCACCGGAAAGGAGGCTGTACTGGACATCATTCCCACTGACATCCACCAGAGGGCGCCGGTCATCCTGGGGTCTCCTGACGACGTGAGGGAGTTCCTGGAGATTTACAAGAAGCACTCTGCCAAGTGAGGGGCGGGCCTCGCCCACTCCCAGCAGGATTGCCTTTCATCTGGACCTTTTATCTCACAGGGCGCTCCCTGGTGCGGCTGTGCCTCCTGCATTCGTAGACAGCAGACATAAAAAGTGTGGCTACTTTCATCATCAAATGCTGTGTACTGCCTGGTGCTACCTAAGCAAAATGTTATCTCGATGATGTCAGTGGTGGGCAAGATGTATATTGAGTGGATGTAGGAGAAATAAACATATTTTCCCTTTTGCAAAAAAAGGTCTTCATTGCTTTGTACCAAAGGATAATGATGGTGATAATAACAGCTAATGTGTGGCCAGGTGTGATGGCTCACGTCTGCATTCCTAGTACTCTGGGAGGCCGAGGTGGGAGGATCACTTGAGATCAGGAGTTTGAGACCAGCCTGAGCAAAAGAGAGACCCCCACCTCTACTAAAAATAGAAAAAAATTGGCCGGGCCTGGTGGCGAATGTGTGTAGTCCCAGCTACTCGGGAGGCTGAGGCAGGAGGATCCCTTGAGCCCAGGAGTTTGAGGTTGCTGTGAGCTAGGCTGACGCCACAGCACTTTAGCCCAGGCAACAGAGCGAGACTCTGTCTCCAAAAAACAAACAAAAAAAACCCCAGCTATCGTGTGTAACATTAGGTAACTCATTTAATCTTCCCAACAACCATATGGATCAGACGCCATGGATAATCCATTTTGTAGATGACGAAATGGAGGAAAGACTGAGAGGTTCAGTGCCGTGCTCAAGGTCTCCAGCCAGTGAGCGGCAGAGCTGGGGTATGAACCCGGGCAATGCGGCCACTGAAGCCTGAGCTAATGTATTGCTTCTCCTGTGTGTGGTCCCACACAGGTCTGGCTGTGCACAGCTAACCTGCCCTCCTAGCAACGGGACAGCGAGTAGCTCAGTGACGGCACCTGAGCGTGACTCGTGGCCTCCCATACGTGGGTGTGACTATCCGAGTCACTAATGAAGGTTTACACTGGTACCCAATGGTGATTTTTCTACACAAGCACAGCACTTCAGTGAACTCACAAAGCCTAATAATTTTTGAGATCTAGTTACCATAAGGACAAGGATTTATCATAAGAACAGGATTTAAGGAAATACAATTTGTTTCAAGCAAGTATGTTTCTCACTAAGCTCTGTCTATAAACAGTTTCTCCCTCAGCTAACCCCGGTTCTTTGTGGACCAGACTCCAAGATCATGGCAACTTCTATATCAGGTGTTAATAGCAAATGGGGCCTTTTTTGAGCTCTGGATTTTAAAATGTATCTATCCATATATTTCCACTCAGTATCTGAGAACAGGTGTCTGTGTAAATCCTGCTTCTTTCTCTCCAAACACTCCCGTTCATTCCAGGTTTTTCCAACAGGAAACAGTTTGACCTTGAGCATTGGATCCGCTCCTGTCCACCGACCAGACCCAAAGCCAGTGTCTCCCCCACTCCAGCCGTGGCAGGCCCTGTCAGGAAAGTCCCCACCCACAACACACTTTGATTTTTTAACCTTCTTGTAACTCAGTTGGCCTTTGGTTCTAAAAGCATCGAGGGAGACACGACTTTGGGTCTGGGAGCCTTTTCCCATCACTGAGATTACTGTGGAGAAACACTACTGCCCACCCGGTGCTGCGAGGAAACCAGGCAAAATGACAAAAAGATCCCGTTCCTCTGCGTTTGTCTGTGTGTTCTGTGTGGCGTCTTTGCATCGAGCTGTCGGGTTATTCAAGCCAGCGGTTTCAACTGCCACTCATTTGCAATCTATGGCTGACGTGTCCAAGCCTTTCTCTTTCTCCGAGAAAGACAGACACACACAGACCCACAGAACAGCAGCACGAACGGCGGTTCTCCTCGGATGGTTCTTAGCATCTCAGCTGGACTTGACCTTGGGGCGTCCTGGCTGCCTCCCTCGGACAGGTGAGGGAGGATGAGGGGATCGCATCCCCCGAGTGTCACGTAGAGGCGCGGCAGGAACGTGGGCTCTACATTGTCCCAGTGCTCCTGAGAGGGGAGACCGCTCCTGCTTCGGATCAAAACACATAATGTCGCCTTTGCAGAGGGGAGCAGCCTCCTCTCGCCCAGCCAGTGTCTGGCTGCAGGGGATTTTGCTAGTCCCTGCGTGTCAGTATCGGCAGGATTTGTGAAGAGGCCCCGCGCCGCCCCTCCCCACCCACAGGTCTGCTTTTTGCCCTTAGAGGCTCCGTAGCCAACCCCTCACCTTCCTAGTTAAGAACACGCTCAGCCTGAAACCCCAGTTCTAAGTATTCTGAAGCAGATCAGCAGGGGAGTTTCTCCACAGGTGCCCTTGCCGCGTGGTGTCCTTTGCCAAAAGCTAGGGAAGCACCTCTGCAGTTTGATCCGAAGTGCCTGTCGGTCCTGGCTTTGCCACCACGGACAGGCTGGGCACAGCTTATGCCCCTGAGCATGGGAGGGAAGACCCCGTGACCAGGATGGAGGCAGAAGTTCCACTCAAGCACCGTTGGGGTCCAAAGTCCCCAGAGTGACTGTGTCCTGGTCCTCACCTTCAGAATTGGGAATAATTTCAAGATGCCTGTAGTGGGTTGAATGGTGTCCCCTGAAAGGACGTGTCCACATGCAAATCCCTGGGACCTGTGAATGTGACCCGATTTGGAAAAAGTGTCTTTGCAGATGTAATTAGATTAAGGAGTATCATCCTACCTAGATTACCCAGATTAGGGTGGGTCCTAAATTCAATGACATGTCCTCATATGTCACACAGAGCAGAAGGGGATATGAGGATGGAGGCAGAGATTGCAGCGATGTGGCCGCAAGCCAAGGAAACCAAGGAGTGCTGCCAGAAGTGGGAAGAGGCATGGAAGGACTCTTCGCTGGAGCATCCAGAGGGAGTGTGGCCCTATTGCCACCTTGCTTTTGGCCTTTTAGCCTTCAGAACTGTGTGAGAATACATTTATGTTGCTTTAAGCCATGCGGTTTGCAGTACTTTGTTGTGGCAGCCTAGGAAACATTGCTAATCACGTGCCCCAAGGGGTATGATTCAGGTCTCTCATGCAGCAGGGCACGGACAACATCCCTTCCTTCACATGGCTGCTGCCCTCAAACAGGTGCTGGGCACGCACAGGCTGTTGGTCGAATTTGAAGGATTAAACCCACCATGGTCCCGCCCTTTCCCTGAGATGCTACTTCTGGTTTCCCTGGAGAACCGAGGTGCTGCCACTGAGGTGCAGGTGCTCCCGGTGGCTTCCACAGCGGGGTGGGGAGGCTGGAGGTGGTGCTGAGGGGAGAGCGGACCCTTCTGCCCACTGGGAGTCCCGGCGAGCTGTCAAGAGGGCAGCTGGCACCCGATGCCTGCCGCTGGGGTCAGGGTGGCCTGAGGCCAGGTCCTGCCTCTGCCACTGTCCAGCTGTGTGTGTCTGGTGGAGACCAGGCAATGGTCACCACACCGGTTTCTCTTCCCAGACCCACAGGAGACAACCTTTCCCAGCCCGTCGTGCATTTAGGTGAGGGCCGTGGGTTTTGGCCAGTGCGGTGGGGGCGGAAATGGCGTCTACAACTTCCAGGCTGACTCCACTGCACAGTCCTGCGTCCTCTCTTCCCTCCACACCAGCTCTGAAGTCGTGCATTTCAATGACAGGGACACAATGAGGCAGGAGCCTGGAGCCAGAGCCACTGCCCTCTTGATACCAGCCTGGAACAGGAAGGAGAAACAGAACTTCCCTGTATAAGCGACTGGGATTTCGGGCTTATTTGTTACTGCAACATAACCCAGGCGATCCTGACCAGGCTACCCTGAGCTTGGCAACATTCTTTTAAATCTCTCTGGGCCTCTGTTTCTTCATTTGTGAAATGTTACTGTAACACCCGTTGTCGTAGTCAAGGCCATTGTCACTGTGGTGCTGGAAACCGGCTCATCTGGGTGGATCAGAAAGGGAGTTCGTTGGAAAGCTTCAAGTGGATCTCATGAAATACGGTTCCCCTCACTCGCCTCGCCCCGAGGATGCATCTCGCCAGCTCTGCAGCACCCAGTTCATGCGTGTCTCTGTCTCACGCCAAGTGCCCAGGAGAAAAAATCTGATTGGCTCAGCTTGTGCCAAGTGTCCATCCCTGGTCCGATCAGCTGCAGCCAGAGACCAGGGTCATCTAGGACAAACGTGACCTCGAGTTTTTCTCTTATGGGCAGGGGGTGTTTTCTCCAAGAGGGGGATCAGGGGCTCAGCAGATGCCCCAGCGACGTCCGCCCTGCTGCCAGCAGGAATGCTGAGGCTCCATGAGAAAGTGTGCGGGGATTCCATGCCAGGGTGGATGTGAAGCGTCTTAGCGGAGTTTTGCTAACAAGAATGGTCCCTCAGCTAGTGCTCTAGCGTCACCTTCCAGATCCTGGTCTTTGGGTGGAGGCCCTGCCCTGCGTCCTGCTCTAAGACCGCCGTAAGTCTTCACGGGGTCTGCTCGTCCTTGTTATTTAGACTCAGGCCTGTGAGGATGCTTCTCCAAGCCGAGCAAGGCCATAAATAGCTTTGTGGTCAGCAATGTGTTAGCGGAGCTGAAATCACCACGAGGCGGATGTTGTTCTTTCTTCCTCTGGGCTGTCACCACAGCCACTCTGTAAGTCCCCACCCTGTTGTGTGCCCTGAAAGAACTTTGGCATTTGCTGAAAGGTCACCAGCTGCAATTTTAGTTCATGTGGGTAACTTGAACTTCCAACTTTTACATGTAGCTGCAAAGGGGTTCGGCGGCTGTGCCGGTGTCAGCCTGCGCTGGATGGGGGCAGAAATAGGTGGCCTTCCCGCGGACCCCTGTATGGGACAGAGCCAACTGCTAATAAATGGCACTGGCCAGCTGATCCCCAAATCATCCTTCTGCTCTTTCCCGACACCCACAGAGTGTTCGGCACCCAGTGCTCTCCCAAGATCTGTGCCAAGGCACTGGTTTGTTTGTGTCACTTCCAATGTGTTGTGAACAGATATGCCTACAAAACACAATCAAAAGAACTTTGAGAATGGCCAAGAAAAACATGAAAAAGATGCTCAGTATCACTAATCATTAGGGAAATGCAACTGTAAGGCTCAGTGAGATAACATTTATATCCATTAGGATGGCTATTATTAAAAAAAAGAAGTAGCAAGTGTTGGTGACAATGTAGAGCCATTGGAACCCTTGCTC